AAGGTCGCTTTGTTCTCACGGCAATTTCCTACTTTGATACTGGGGAAAAGAAAGGATCGATTCTGAACTTGCTGATTTTGTTTGTTTGGGGTGATCTATAATTTTTATTTCATTTGTAGAAGACTGGCGGACCTAAAAGGAACCCTAGCGTTCCTTCGATCTTCTCTGTCTGCGATTTTAGCTGATCGATTTGATTTCAAATCTAAGAAAAAGAAGAGGAGGGGGATTTATTGGGTGAAGATGCTTTGGATTATGCGGTTTTCTTGGTTTTTCTCTGCGGCAATGGTGATGATTGTGCTTTCGCCTTCTCTGCAATCTTTCCCTCCTGCAGAAGCCATTCGATCCCATCATCTGGATAAGCATCGTCGGTTGCCGTCGTATCTCTCCATTCCTGACCGGTTTTACTTTCGAAAAGCTGATGTATTCCGCAATGCGGATGAATGTGGCTTCCCTGACCCGAAAATCACAGGAGTTTGCGATCCCAATTTGGTTCACGTGGCTATCACTCTCGATGTTGAGTATCTCCGAGGCTCAATCGCCGCCGTTCACTCGATCCTGCAGCATTCGAGGTGTCCGGAGAGTATTTTCTTCCACTTCCTCGTCTCGGAGAACAATCTGGAAGCCCTAGTCCGGTCCACCTTCCCTCAATTGAAGTTCAAGGTGTACTATTTCGATCCGGAGAAGGTGCAGAATCTGATCTCCAGTTCCGTTAGGCAAGCGCTTGAACAGCCGCTAAATTATGCCAGGAATTACTTGGCTGATTTACTGGAACCGTGTGTGGGCAGAGTAATTTACTTAGACTCCGATCTGGTTGTGGTGGACGATATCACGAAGCTGTGGAAAACGAGCTTGGGTTCTAGAACAATCGGAGCTCCGGAATACTGCCACGCCAACTTCACCAAGTATTTCACGGCGAGGTTCTGGTCGGACGAGAAACTTTCCGGCACATTCAGGGGCAGAAAGCCGTGCTATTTCAATACCGGAGTGATGGTGATAGATCTGGCGAAATGGAGGCGGTTTGGGTACACAAAACGAATCGAGAGGTGGATGGAGATCCAGAAGAGCGATCGGATCTACGAGCTAGGGTCGCTGCCGCCGTTCCTGCTAGTTTTTGCCGGACACGTGGCGCCGATCGAGCACAGGTGGAACCAGCACGGGCTGGGCGGTGACAATGTAAAGGGCAGCTGTCGTGACCTCCACCCCGGTCCGATTAGCCTCCTGCATTGGTCCGGCAGCGGCAAGCCCTGGCTCCGGCTCGACTCGAAGCGGCCGTGCCCGCTGGACGCATTGTGGGCTCCTTACGACCTGTACGGACACTCACACTGAACCGCAGGGGCAATCACCGGTAAATTCCGCCCAGGACTTTTTTTTTTTGGTCACTTATTTTTGTTAATTTTATTTTTCATTTTGCCATTATTTCATGTCTTCGTCTTTTCTACATCTACTCTTTTTTCTTTTCTCTTTTTTTTTTTTTTTACTTAAATTATCATCAGCACATTTCTCAGGCGATTGTATTCTATTCTTCTATTTTTCCTGCCTCTGAAAATAAAAAATAGGGAGAAAAAAAAAACCAGAAATTCAAATTTCAGAATTTCTATCTACTTTTCGTATTTTCATTTTGAGATTTTTGGTTTTAGGCGTAACAGATGGGGCAGCGAAGTTATTATCATCTCCACGTGGCCGTAGTGGCATTTAAGTGGAAATTAAAAAAATATAATCAAATTGCACTTTTTAAAATATTGTTGCATTGGAAGCAACTGAAAACATAAATTAGATTAATGGCGTTATGGTTTGTGTCGGTGGACTTTGTTTGTTTCTTCAGTATTACCTCTTCTGCCCTTATACAGCGTTGGTTTCCCTCAAATACCCCTGGAGCAGAATTAGCAGAAAAAAGGGAATTTCCGTATATGAGAACATTTTAGATGTTAGTTTGTTGTCCATTTGGGACGGAATGGTGCCGTTTGTGGTGGCGGGTGGCCGGCTTGAGGTTCAATTTAGGCAAAGTGGCAGCGGCGGTGGACTTGTGAACCACCCCACTACGTCTTTATTTACAACTGAAGTATGCTTCGGTTTCTCTCTTTAGCTTTTTTTGATAATTTTGTAGTGTTTGTTTTACAAAGGGAGTGGGATTATAATAATTTATCCAGGGAAAAAAAGAAAGAGTAAATTTGATGGAATTTTAGTTTGTGTAAATGAAGCTAAAGAGTTAGAGGTTGAGCAATCAAGATTGATGTGGGCATCGGGAAGGAGAGGGACCCAGAAGTCATTGTAGCGTGGGATGTGGCCAAAGTAGGGATGGGGACCGATTCCTTTTGCCCTGGCGTCACACGTGGCCGGATGCTTGGATCCTAGTAGAATCATACGGTGTAGCCAGCAAGTCATCATCACCACCACCACCGTATAATTAGATTCTTTTTACGTAGATGATTCTACGTGGCTACGGTCTACGTACTCATTTTTGCGTAGTTCATTCTTCGTCCAATCCACAATTTGTTGAAAACTCACTTGGTCTTAGCTGGGTTCTTCTTGTTTTGCCTAAAAACGAATAAATAGAATTATTATAATTCCTGATGTTGGATTTGGGTCCTACAGCTTGGTGGTGAAATCGTAAAAGATTAAAAGATTTGTTCCGACACTTGTTTGTAGAATAATTGTAATCATGGTTTGAAATGGTTCTAATCATTTGGTAAGGTTTAGATGGTTCTAGAAAAAAGTAGGGGGGTGGGTAATTGGGTAAGGTAAGCCGGCGGTGGAGTGCTAGATAGACAAATCCAAAAAGTACCCAACTCATGATATTAGATAGATTAACACGAGCAGTGAAGTGTATTATTAATCTTCTTTAATTTTGTAGGAGTAGGTTATTCATGTGGATGGAATTCCAATTGCAGGCTGGATTATCTGAAGTAAAAAAATCATGATCATGTATATCGTTTTGGGTGGAAGTCGAAAAAGCTCACAGGTCTCTGGTCGCACAGGCCATCCCCTTCAAATGGTCCACATTAGGATTTTCTTCTGGAGCGAAAGACCATGAATTTGGAGGCACCAGGCTCGAACATTGATTACTTTGGGCATAGCGTATCTGCCGGGCATCTTGAGTAGGGTATGGCGAGGTTTGTCGTTGAGGGTATGATTAAAAACCAACAAGTACTACTCTCTCAAAAAAAAAAACCAACAAGTACTTGAAAAACTCCAAACGAGATTGCGTGATGTTCTTTCCAACAAGGAAACTCATATCTGCATTCAAACTTTGGAAGCCAAAGTTTTACTTCTTGCAGAGAAACAAACAGAATGAAGCAGAGAGAGGTATGTATTTGGCCCTTTGAATGGTTTATCTCCTGTAGTGGCATGTGAGGAAAGGAAGTAAAGGGGAACTAAAAGAGAGATTTGAGGAGTATTTAGGACCTTTACAGCTAGAAACAGCCATGATATGGAGGGAAGAGGGGGAGGAAAGGGACCATTAAGAATCCATGGTCCTCCACCATCAATTGTTCGCCAGTTGCATCATTTTGGTACATATTAACCGCGTGCCAGAAGATAACAACTTCCTTTGCCTTGCCTAATCTGAAACTGTAGGGTCGAAATGCCTCACTTGTGTGGGACAACCATTAACCAGCTAATGACCATTAGTAAACCCTCGACCTTAATTGCGTATTAGAATTTATGCTTAGTAAGTATCAACGACGATAAGTTCAAGTTAGCAAAAATGTGCTGCAATTAACTTTAATTCTTGTTTTGGGTCCAGGAAATTAGAGTGAAATCTAGCAAATTCGCTGGCATTGTCGACCACCAATGTGCATGTGAACGTAGGAAGGAACAAAGAAATACGTGCAATTTGTAAGGCTTTTGAAAGGAATTGACGGTAACAGAGATGAATGGAACGTTTTGGAAACAGTAGCCAACAAATGAAGGAACTCCAAGAATCAGGATGTGGCTGCAAATTGTACGAAGTGGGACAGATGAACACATGATTAATAGGACCACCAGGAAAAAATCTGCTAAACGAAATGTGTTTTTCGTTTGACTTGGCATTGGCAAAATTCCAAATGGGCAGTTTCAGACATTTATTAGCTTGTTTCTATTTGCTTTCTGTGGATGGAAAAGGAATGGACCAACACGCTTGAGCTACATTCGGATTAGGAAGATAATCTGCTCCTTCCAAAGAGAACATAACACCTGCAGCACCAATTTAATCATGTGGGACAATAAGCAATTTGTGCAAGAGATGTAATTTCACTCGAAATTCAAACCGAAAATCTCAGTTTTGGAGAAACTAACACAATACAATCATCTAAAAATCAACTAAAATGAAGCAATTAAATGCAAAAAAAAAAAAAAAAAGAAGAAGGAAGGAAAGTACATATGGTGAAGTTGAGGAACTTCACATTCTAGAACAGGAAATGGGGACAATACATCAAGGGAACTTGAACTTCATGTAATCCTGACTTCCGGATGGCGGGTTTATGTACACCCAAAGCAGAGAAACGATGATGGAGATTAGTCCAGACCAAACGAACACAATGGTTGGGACCTTCCCTTTCCTTCCCATCAAGCCCTTTGCGAATGGGTAGAGATGGCACAACACCCAGAAGCTAAAGAAAACCCCACCAACGAGCTTGCTCCATTGCGGAAACGGGCTGTACATTGTCCTTGCTACGCCTACTGCAATGGCAATCATGTTTACCATCATGATTGTGATTGGAGGAACCATGAGAAAGCTCCATTTAACAACGTATAGCTCGGCAAACTCATCGTCTCCATCATCTGGTGCGGCTGATTTTGATGTGAGAGTGAAGGAGATGTCAACTCCGGCTATGACTTTCAGGAGTCCTTGCAGCACCGCTGCAGGATGAGAACTTGTTCCTCCGATCAACCAGAACTGCTCGTTCCGCCACCAGTCATGGAGAGTGATTCCTGACCACCTAATTTCGAGGATAGCAAGCAGGCATAGTGTGATTGTGATGGCAAGTAAGTATATCAGGAACGTCACGCTGAGGGATTGGACTATGAATTGGCCGGAGAAAAGAGAGGCTGCCGGTAAAACACAGTAAACCAGGAGGAACACGGAAGTGAAAGGGTACATTCCGACATTGAAATACGCCACTCTCTGTAGGAATTTCATCCGGCGGCTTGCAAACAGAGCATTGTTTCTGGAGAAGAATATCTCAACGGACCCAGTTGCCCATCGGAGGACTTGGTGAAGCCTGTCTGTTAGATTGATGGGAGCTGTCCCCCGGAAAGCATCCCTCTTGGTCACGCAGTAGATTGATCTCCACCCACGGTTGTGCATTCTGTAACCGGTGACTACATCCTCTGTAACAGAACCGTAAATCCATCCTACCCTTTTTCCCCACTCTGTTTTATCCTCATAGAAGCAGGAGATAACGCTGATAGCCTCAGCTACCGTTGCAGCATCAAGAGGCTCCCGCGGCACTGCAAGAGAACCTGCTGGTCTGCCTTGGTTTCCATTTCCTTGCAAATCCTGTAGCAGCCTTCCCTGGTATTCTGCGACCGGGATTGATGCAGCTAGAGGAGTAGAATTTCCAAACCTTTTAGGCAGAAGCAAAGACTCAATATCTGCATCATCGTCATCATTATGTTCACCATTGATTGGCAATGCTATCTCATCCTCTGCTCTCTTTGTCACCTTAGTTTTTCTCAAGAACAACTTGATCTTTCTTCTACCGAACCATCCATGGTGTTCTGTGGCTCTAGGTGGACTAAACCCGTAAATAGCAGTTCTCCTGAAAATGCAGCCTGTGCCTACATACATTGGCCCCTGCAATCCATCAAGAGCTCTCATGCTCACATCGAAGAACACTGTATTGTGATTTGCATACCGGTCATTTGGATCAATACCCTCAAACCTTTGTGGGAATTGAACATAACAGATTCTGTCACCACCTCTGTCGAGCATAAAGCACATTCCTTCCCTGAGAGCCAAGGAGTTGTAGATGTAGTGATCACAGTCCAGATTGAGAATGAATGGTCCATTTGACATGATAGCACTGGTTCGGACCAAAGCATTCATGGCTCCAGCCTTCTTGTTGTGGTCATAACCAGGCCTTTTCTCTCGAGAAACATAAACCAGCATTGGCAATCTTATGTCAACTTCTGTTGTGTCAATCAGGTTCTCCCCATCTGCTTCTGCACCATAAACTGCTTCTGCATTTGATGGAGCTAACATTGCCTGCAGCAGAAGTTAAAGTTTAATCACTTGAAAATCAAACAGATTCTATAGCTATGAAAATTATGTAAATTGGGTTATTGTATTTACCTGGATAATACCAGCATGATCTCCTTTTCCATGATCAGGCTCTCCAGAAGCCCATGTTCCAGGCCAATGAGAACCATCTGACATCCATGTAGCCTTTGGGACCTTAATAGATTCTGAAGGATTTTCTTCCATTTCCATCTGTTTCTTCTTTGCTCTAAGCTCTTCATGAGCATTGTAAGCATCTGATCTCCGCCTTATCGACTCAGGTAATGAATTAATCCTCACCTTAAATTCATCATATTCTCTCTTCACCCTCCTTCTCTCCCTAACAAAGTCAATCCTCACCTTGTTCTTAAGAAAATCTCGCTTCAGCCCAAAATAAGCCTCTGGATTTCTTGGCTCTATGTTATGCTTTCGACAAAAAGGAACCCAAATTCTAGCAAAGCTAGCAGTCTCAGCAAGAGCTTCAAATGTCAAAAGAGCCCCACCATCATCAGAAAGATAACAGGCAAGCTTTTCTACAGGGTAGTCAACAGCTAGGATTGAAAGAATGGTGTTTGCTGTGACAAGTGGGGGTTCCTTTTCAGGGTCAGCCGTGGAAACAAATACATCAATCCCTGGAAGGTCTGATCTCCCCTTTGGGTTTCGAAGGTTTGGTGACTCAAAACGTTCTTTGAGAACAGAGAGGTCAGTTACTCTATTCACAGGGCAAAGCTTAGGAAGTTGATCTAAAAGCCATGAAAAAGCAAACCAGAGTTCACAAGTGGTTGACATTCCCCATAACCACATTGCTTCATGATTGGGGTGTCTAATCCTCCATGTAAGGAAGAAACAAAGTGCCACAAGGCGTATAAGAATAAGCAGTCTGCATATAATCACAAACACCAAATTCAAAATTTGCCATAACTATAATCTACAAAACATGAAACTTAGTTCTGAAAATGCATAGATCAATGTCTGTTTCATAAATTCTAGGAGTCCTAGTACTGAAGTTGTACCCTAAACTATATACACAAAAATAGAAGGTAAATTGATTTTGAGGTTTACCTGTATGGACTGAGTATTGCAGCAGAAATTCCAACCTTTCTGGTTAAAGGCCTCTTGCTTCTCTCTCCAAAATCCGGTGGATGCTCAAACCCATTTCCTCCTGAGCCGACTCCATACCCATCTTTAGGCCAGACTGCATTTCCATACCCATAAGTCCCTTTAGTCTCAAACAACCACCGTGTGTGATCAAAATCCTGTGGGTGGTTCTGCTTGAATGATTTCACAAGGGAGAGCCTCTTGTCCAACTTGAAATCCGCCATTGAAGGCAGTGGTAGAGCCTGGTCCTCTGCCTCGGACCTAACCTCATCATCCTCTTCATCATCTCCATCGCTGACATCTTTGTATGGTTCTTTGCATCCTGGACAATGCCCTCCTCCACTACCCACACAATCCAAGTAACAATCTCTGCAAATCTTGAACCCACACTCACATTTCCCCTGCATTGCTTTCTCATCACATCCCTTCATGCCACAAATCATCCCTGATTTCACCGGCTCTGCTTTTTCCAACGAGCAATCAATCACATGCCCCCGAGTCACCGAGTTGTACCCTCCAGTAAAAATAGTACCCGAAATGAAGCTCCTTTCAGGCTTCATCACGTTCTTCGCATCTTCATTGAGGCTTGTTTGTGATGCTGAAACAGACTGGTGATCCGGCGTGGGAGGTATATGCACTGTGTACCTTACAAATTCTGAATTCATCTCCTCCATGGTTTCATCTCTCGACATGGAGCAGTACCTTCCTCCACTTGAAGCCCGTCTACCGCCAGTGGAAGCACGATTTCCTCTGCCACTGAGAGGAGAATTTGGGTTGTTTGACACTGAAGGACGTGGAACTGGACTAGTCAAACCTATGCTTCTACTCCCACTTCCTTTGCCTCCGGACGAGACGGTTATGGTCACCGGAGAGGAGGATGGAGAAGTAGCCGTCTTCACCATTGTTTCTCTAAAATCTCAGTAAACCCTCAAAGATTGAACAAAAACAGAGACTAAATGTACTAAAACCAGAAAGAGAAAAACTCTCAAGAACCCAAAGAAAGATGAAATTTTTAGAATTGATTAGAAATGGTGGAAATGTATGAGTCTTAAGGGAGAGATTGGGGGAAGAAGACTGTGCAATCTAGGCATTGTTTTGGATTTGAATTTTAAAGTGAGAGGATATACTACTTGGAGTCGTTGCGAAAGGACTTGAAGGATAACGGTCGAGCAACCTGATCCCTAGATGGGATGGGATCGGACGGTTTTAATTGAATTGAAACGGCCAGAGTTGATATGTGGGCCCGTAATTAGAAGAAAGTCAAAAAAGTGGATGGCTTTTCTTAACTCCCAAGTCCAACGGCTCCCTCCCTCACAACTTTTTGGTTTTTGCTATTTGCCCCCTATGCAATTGTTTTCGGGATCTGAGCCTT